TTTTTCGCGTTTGTTTGACGTGGACATCTCTGAGTATATAGCGTAATGTAGGTGGATAAGCGAATCATCCAGACGTCTTTTGAATACCGTTAGCGTGGGGGAAGAGACAACGTATGTGGGAAGAGCGTTCCAGTGTTCGCATACATGAAGGGAAAAGAAATTCCGGCGGCATTTCAACCGGCTGTATTGTGTGGCCAGCTTTAGCTGGTGTCCTCTGCGTGTTGTATTGCTATTCAGCTCTGGTAGGTGACGATAAGAATGGTTTGAATTCCTCAGGATCATATAAGTCATTATCAAGTCGCCACGCAGACGTCGATATTGTCCACTGTAGACCCCGAGGGGTTTCAGCCTCAAGCGGTATGGGAGATGAAACAGGCCCTTTACGTTCTTGGTCGCCCTTCGTTGTGGCATTTCAAGAGCGGTAAGGTCTCGCTTTTGCCATGGCTGCCAGGCGTGGATGGCGTACTCAGAATGAGGTCCAATGTAGGCGCTGAGCACCTGAGAAAAGATGGAAGGATCGAAGCGTCCGAATGCCCTCCACAAAAGGCCAAGGTTTTTGGTTAGCTTTCTTGGAGGCTTTCTCTGCCTGACGGGAACAGTCCAGGTCTTCCTGCACTACCACCCCTAGACCGCATTCCGTTTTAGTGCGCTACAATATTTGATCCCCCAGTCTGTATTCGCAAGTAACTTTATGGCGTATGCTCAACACCTTGCATTTGTAGCGTTGAACTGAAGCAGGTTCTGAGTCGATCATTCGTAGACCATGTCCAGATCATCCTGAAGTGCTGCGTTGTCGCTGGTTGTTCTAATGGCTTGCCATGTCTTGAGATCATCAGCGAAGACTAAGGAGCTGGAGTTGATTACTGCCGCTAGTTCGTTTATGTAAATCAGGAATAGTCTTGGGCCAAGTACTGAGCCCTGGGGCACTCCGCACTTAACTTCGATTGGGTCAGAGATGACGTCGCGAACTCTTACATTCAGATGTCGTTGAAGCAAGAAGTTAGCTATCCAACCGAGGATTGGGTCACCAATTCCACAAGAGAGTGGCAAGAGAGAAGGTCTTCACTGTGGTCGAAAATCATTATAGAACTACAGTTTGTAAATTATTTTGCCACCGTGAGGACAACTAAGCTAATAATTGCCGCGTTTTATAGGACTTATTATGCTACCTAAGCTATCCTTTTTAACCGAACCAACAAAATGCCTGTTACGCTGACGTAGGTAAAAAGACTTATTGTCGCTAATTCACACTGCTGTTACTAATTCGCCTCTAGCTGCAGGACATGCTACATAGGCAGTACCAATAGAATTCCAACTTGTGGGAACTTGTGCTTAAGTGGGTGCAACGTAAAACTACCTTATTCCGATTCGTCTACCACCTGATTACGAAAGCCAGCTACCTCATCCGTAGGTAGGCACTTATTGGCCACTAGTCATCTATTCGACCCCATCACAATTTTCACAATCTTTATGAGATAACCTAACACTCGCTTCCTGCGTTTTGCCGAGGCTGTTGCGATCAGTCGGATCAACCCGGTACTCTGTGTGCATAAACAACTTTTCGTTAGCCTTAGGCTGCCATGGAGGTAGGGGGCGGAAAATATGCCCCCCACCTTGTCTGTAGTTATCCAAACACTCCCCAGCTGTAGTTATATATACGTTTTCTGTAATTACTTTGGCACTGACGAGGCAATAAGAAAAGTTAACAACTACCATCTTTCTTCTCACCGCGTTATCTAACATATAAACAGTCCATTCAAGATGAGACGTCGAATCTTTTCTATTCAAACAACCGTCTGAGTGACACTGACCTCGAAGGATGCGGCGAATACCCTGGGGCTGCAATAGGCTTCAATTTTTCGGTGCGTCCCATGGCTACATAACCCCATGACAACGCACTCACCTATCCTTCAGGACAGACGTTATACTAACAAATTTGCTGTTCTTGCGTAAGCACAGTTCTCCTGTGGCTCAGTAATATTCACCCGAAGTCACTTGCTTTTGTAGGAGAGAGCTTAGGTGAGAGCTTGGCTCTACTCTTTGAAAGCTGTTTTGACGAACTCTGTGACTGACCTATGGAAGCACTGGATGATTACTCCTATTCACAAGGGAGGTGGTCTTTCCGATCTAGCTAACTACTGTCCAGTAACCAAACTATCGTTGCTTTCCTGGGTCATGGAAGTTATTATTGCGATTGGACTAACGATAGTACTTGGGAGAATATACCTACCTTACACCAGGACTGCATAGATTCCGACAAAATCGAATGTCATAATCTAACGCTAGCGCAATCCAGCTGGACGCACGCAGACACCCAAAAAGGGTTGATGTAGTTTTCCAGACTTTTCCAAGGAATTAAACCTGTTAAACTACAGCCTCGTTTTCTTCATTAGTCAAGCCTGTGCACTGATCATCTTCTCCTAGGGTGATCAGAAGTTTTCCCCCACACCGGAGCTTAGAAGCGAGAGTACGTGAATCCCTATCGGATGCTAACCGGTTCTAATGCGGAACACCAGGTGGATCGGTACTGCGGCCAGGCTTGTGCTTGACCTATATCCAAGATCTTATATGCCTCATAAGGCTGCACTGCCTACTCTACGCAAACGACAACAAGGGATGGAGGGTGATCAATACAATAGGCAATATTATACTCATTAAAGCCGAGCTGGATAGGGTTAGAGCGCGGTCAAACTAGGATCGACTGCAGTTCGATGGGGAAATTAAAGAGTGTCGTACTTAAGACACTGGCTGCCGTACTATTATCGGGAGCTTCAGAAAGCTTGCACCAAAAATTAGCTGGGCCTTATCATTCAGGCCGATCATGGATGTTCAAATAAGCTTATAAATGCATCAGTAAGTTACATAAAAATCTTAGGCCTCCAGCAGCCTGCATTCGGATAATTCCAACCACCAATTTTTCAGCAAGTTCTCGGCGTGTACTTACGTCCATACGTGGCACACGCAGTACAGCTATGGCAGCCACGGTTGAGGAAAAATCTCACCGCTTTGGTGCTAACCAACTGCCGGGCAACCAGGGATATCAAAGGCTTGTATCATTTGTCTCACGAATGAAGACAGAGTGCAGGGGGTCTTCACTGGACGATACGGGCAATTGCGTCCTGACTTTATTTTGAGTTACCATCTTTCGAAGAATCGCAGCCACGCATACCACCATGTGCCATAGCTCAGTCACAACAGTAATCCGAGTAACCACCATCACAAGATGGAAGAGCGATACATTCGTTTAGACTGCAGTCGCAAGTTCTTTTTCGTGCGCGTTTGCCAAGCATGGAATACCCTCCCAAAATCTGTCATCTGTGCCCCCACGGTTGTAGAGTTCACACTTGCATGGGGCCACCACCATGCAAGTTGAGCACCATCTCGCATGACTCTTGTCCCATAACGAAGCATGAGTTCATGTTAGAGACTTTACTACAAGTCTGTTTCCAGAATACGTTACAATATTTTCACCTATTTTACGTGGTCAACAATAGGCGAAGTTGATTTTACAAACGTTCCATTTGCCGTCATTCCTTTTGAACGTACAGTGTACGCACAGTTTAGAATACGTATACCGTGGTGATTCCACCGGTGTGACCCTACTTTATCTGACACTTTTCCCATATTGTGCAATCTTCCCCTTGACTATACTACGGGATCTGGTACACTGTAACCTTTTACACTTAGTAAGCCATTGTTTCATTTTTCCTTACTCCCCTAACCTAATCATTATACTAAAATAGCCGTTAATAAT